GCCATCATCATTGGGCGATTCTGAATTTTGAGAAAATCATTACGCCTGATGCAAACAAGATATAGGCCACCACCTGCGGATGCCCTTCCCCACAGGTCTCACCTCTATAGTTTGGAGGAGGTCGCCAACAAGGACCCAGCCTGCGGCTGGAACATTTGGCAGCGCATGCTTGTGTTAAAGTGGGCACTTTCTGTGATCAACGCATCCCTATGGGCTCAAATGAGGGTTGGCAGCCGGCAGCAATAGCAAAAAGCCACAGGTTAAGAACGCGACATCATTGCATTGGAAACAGAAACTGGAGGTCACGAGGCGCCCCAGCTTTAGTGCCTCAGCTACCTCTTTGACATGAAAGTGTCTTTGTCCAGGCCTGGACCATAAAGGAAGCGAGCGAATCTAGTTGGTGGTCGGGTTTTAGATGGCAAAGATACAAGTAACATGTGAAACATGTGGTAAATGTAATGTAGATACATTACTTAGAAGCTAACTTTAAAAACTAAACTTTTGTGGTAATTTGTGATTGCTGTTTTGTTTTTAAAAAACTGATACAAGTAACTTTAAGTTTTACAAGTTATTTTGATTCGTTTTGCCTTGATTTTTTACATGATTTGTGAAAAAAATACTTTTTTCCGGGACGCTTGGAAATGTAGGGAAAATCAGTTTACCGCTGCCCAGTAGGCCGCAGGTAGGTGAATTTTTGGCAGTGGGCATATTGGAAAAGATTAATGATTTCATGTACAGTATTCCGGCCCATTGGGCCGCCAATGGCATTTACATGCAGTTAGGTGTATCACCGCTGCCCATTGGGACGCCAATGCTTTTGGCGACTAGGATTGCAAACGTTTTCGTCAAATTCAATGAAGCTCGCAGCTTGATGTATGGAACGTGCTGAAGATACTCATCAGAGAAAAATATTGCATGTCCACGTATGCGTTCATAAAATGTTAAAATATGTGTGGGTGATTTAAAATTGATGTACAAATGACATAAAAGACATATAAATGTCGTATAAACGATGTAAATATGATGTATAAATGAGGTTATAAATGTCGTAAAAATGATGTATTAATGATGTATAAATGATGTATAAATGATGTGTAAATGATGTATAGATGATGTATGAATGATGTATAAATGATGTATAAGTGATGAAAATGATGTAAAATCAAGTGTAGAAAGCAACATCTGTTGATAAGAACTGAACAGTTTCAAAATGAGCGACCTAGTAGGCCGCTGTGGCGCTCTTCAAGAGCATTGATATATTTCCAACTACTCCAAAACCACCATCGAAAATCCAAAAAAAAGTAGATATTGGAAACCCAAAAAGCACGTTTTTCAAACATCAAAAAAGACCAAGTTTCCTAAGTTACTTTTAAGTTAAATACATAATAATTTTAAACCAAAGCCAACACAACTTAGAAAACCTTTTAAAAACATAAGAAGTCAAATAACTAAATTAAAAACACGCATATCCGTGATACCATTGACTGTGAAACTAAAAACATAATGAACATACACCTGCTTTAAACGTATTTACACAGAAATATATGTAAGTCAATTCTAACTTTGCCATATATATAACCCAGCTGTGAGGGTGGCTACTTGTGGCCGATTCGTCTGACGTCTGTTGTTTTGTTTTGTTGTGTCGCGTTTTGAGCCGCTATTCTTGTGCACTTGTTGCAAAGCTGTAATTTGATGCGTCTGTTCAGGACGCTTTCTGTCTGAGCTTGCTGCCGTTGGGCCCGGCTGCTGCTGCGGCTGTTTATTGTCATAGCTGATCCGGTAGGGGATCTCGAGGGCCTCGAGGGTGCGGACTTTTCCACCGATGACCGCTGTCATATAGTACGCCAACTTGAGTGATCCCTCCACATTCCTGAAAGTAATCTGATAGTTGTGCTCTCCCTTTCGGAAGATGCCTGATATTCCGCTGTGTGAAGACTTCCGGGAAATAAACGCCATCGGAGTTTGTCACATTAAGCACACTTTTGCTGATACAGGGCCCTACCCAGCGTCGCAAAGTTCCCTTTCCAAACGTTCGAAAAAATCCACTGTGCCCGGTGACATTCGAGAGCGCTCCATGCAGGTCCCACCGTTTCCGCAAAAAAATAAAGGGCGTCGTTTCCTTAACTGCGGCCTCCTTGACTTGTTGGCTTCCTTCAACCGGTTGCAGGTGGGCGTTAAATGGCGTTAAGAATGTGAACTGCCAGAGCATTACCCGAAGTCCCTGGGACAAGTGATGGACGCCTTTCGTCAAGCGAATGACCTCTTGGGTAGGAGGCATGATTCCGGATAGCTTAAAGCTCTTTTTTATGCCCTTCTCTTTCTGGGCGGGTTGCGGGTTCTGAGCCAATCTGCGGGCCAGGAGAGTGAGCCGTAAGCGGGTGTGTGTTCGATGTACCGGAAAGAGGGTGGGAGGGGGGGGAGGAGCATGTGGCAGAGCAGTGGCAGAGTGAATCGAGCGTAGATGTGTGTCCGTGTGTGCACAAGAAACTTGCAAGCTGTGCTGCCGCCAAAGAATGCTTCCGCCAAAAAAAAGCTTTGGGGTCGCCAGAGGATGTCAGGTGCCAAAGAACACCTCCCCCATGCATGTTGTGCGATGTGCGCGTGGCGGAGGGATTGTCGCTACATTGTACTGGTATGTGTGATTTGAGAAGGCGCATGACGCTTGATTATCCTTAGGAGACAAAGATTCAAAAAGAATAGACATCGGTTAGCGAATGGGAAATAGGAGGTGTATCAGCATCCTATTGCGATTGACAGAAAGTAAAAGAAAATCGACATGAGGAAAGGATGTCGGCGTGAGGGAAGGAACGCACATGTTCAGCGATATGTGGTGTGTGGGAAAAAGTGTGCGCATGCATCGCGCAGCCGTCAAAGAACGGCTCAGGGGGCGCCAGAGAACGTCAGGTGCCAGAGAACACCTCCCCTTCAGGTGATTTCCTCTTGGCGTCCTAGAAACCATGGTTGTGTCGTGTCTTTTTGTAACCCCAAAAACATCAGTGGCAATCTGCTGAGAAGGGTGGCTACTTCGGTCCAGTTTACCGGAGTGCCCTCGGCTGTGGTGTATTGGACAATTGTATCGTGATACTTTTGGCGCAGAGCCCTGTCGCTGGGCGCACAGGGAGGGGTCTACTTTGATATCCTTTGAGCGGTGCTAATTTCCTAGCTAATTAAATAAGTGAATGGTCCGTATACGGTGTCCAATCTCGTTGGAAGGCTTCCCATGCTACCTCGGGGTGGCTTGTTAAGACCCGGTGAGCATTTCCAAGGTGCTTCTCGGCTACTAAGCAATAATCCACCAGGTGAGGGGTCCCTTAGCGAGGGTGCAACCATGTGGTCTTCTTGGGTTGGGGTGTCCAAGTGTTAGCGACTACCAAGCCTTGATTGGTACAGAATTGAATTAGCATTGAGATGTGACGGGGCTGAAGTTGTCCAATGAGGTGTTCAAGGTCATCTACGCATTCCTGTAGTTCATCCGCCGTGGCTCGACTGCTAGGAGCATAGGTCGCGATAATTGACAACCCCAGTTTTTGGAAACGCGGTATTTGTATCAACATGCTTTGACACTGTTCCCCTTCACCATCTGTGTTGACCGGCAGGGTGCTGTTCCACCAGGTCAAGGTCCAGTGTTCATTAATGACCATATTAACTTTACCTTGGCTGACTAACGTCCATCTAGGTTGACTTGCTGCTTGAGTTTCCAACACCATATTGGTACTGCGACTATCTCCCACGGTCTATGTTCCCACAAATCAATCATCTCATCCAGTTTGTGATCCTGATCGATATAATCCGTGCGTGCACCTAATTGACGCGTGTTCTAAGACCCTATGCGACAGATACGTTTGACTTGACGTTTCTTCTGAAAGCGATCCAACCACTTCCTGTTCCCTATTCTCCTGAGTTTCTGCTCCCGTTTAGTCTTTTTCCGTGCTACTCTGTCCAGTACCAAGGTAGGCCTATTGCGTTTGAACCCTGTGTCAGTTGAGGGTTGTAGGACCATTACGCTATGAGCCAAAGACGGGCCCATGGGAATATGGTCAGCGGTGTCCCTACAAAGTTCTCTCGTTGAGTTGAAAGACGATGGGGGGTACTCGCAAAACAGAGGGTGGGTAGAAAGAAGAGAAGGCAAAAGAAAGTAGGTCAGTCTAATGCATTCCAGTGATTGCGAGTGTAATGTTACTGTGTCACTCAAGGATTGGTTGAAACCCACAACGTGAGTTGAAGTGTCGGTGCCCACCCGCCACTTCTAGATGGAGCAATTAAACTGGAGAGGAACAAGACCAGCCGAGTCCCCAAGATGATCGTTTGCCCCAACACCCCAATTTGTGTGCTTCCCCCTCTGGTAGAACCAGAGCCCCCAGGGGAGTGGAGTTGGCCCTGTTGTCCTGGAATCTGGAATTGAGCCAGAAACACCACCCACTGCCATTCCCAATCATGGCCTCATCCTGTAATACAACACCTTGCTGCCCACAACAGCTGCGATAGGACTCGGCGAAGGACTTCCAGTACTCGACACGTTGGGCCTCCAATGTAGCCAGCTGCTGAGCCGTGGACAGCAGCAGTTCATCTGCAGCCGCCTGATCGGTCACGTGCTTGCGCGCTCGCTCGCGATATTGCACCTCACCTTGGGCGCCAAAGACCCAGTGGATTTGGGATCACTGTGGCCTCAAAATTGGGCAACGACTACTTAAGGACAGCAGAAAAAGAGAGAGAGAGAGGGGTTTGGATCGCCGGGGCCCAACCTTTGGGTAACTCGCATAGAAATAGAAAACCCAAAGATTGATCATTCTGAATCTTGATATGGGAAATGATGGCCAGTTCATCCCGCTTCGAAGTTTGGGTGTTCAGGTTTCAAGGTTCATCAAAGGATGCTTCACCTAGGCACTCAGCCACGAGTCCGGTGGTGCTCGTTCTTGAGTAATGGCCCGTGCAGCTTCTTCCACGCGCTCGTGATGATTTTGCCACGCTTGCTCCGCAGCTTGATGGGATTCATCCCAGAGACGGATGGCGGAAACAACCTGAATTGTTCAGGGGCTGACTGCTGGTTTGTGACCTAGTAACTGGAAGGCCAGAAAACCCTTTGATGAGGGAGTAGCTGAGTAGCACTACTGAGGGCAGGCTAACGCAGTTGCAGAATCAGAAACATAATTGCACATCCCTGGTACCAAGTTTGTTGCTCCTATCATTGCGAACAAGGTAAGATCATGTTTGATCATGCTGCATGCGTACCTGCGCCTCCGGTGGCACCACCAATGGAAATTACTCGAGGAGCTGCTGTTCTTGCCAAGGGGCTTGTGAGGACAAGTGATCAGACAAAGTTTGAAACCGCTGTATAAGGTTCTGCCCGCCCTCTGGTGCTGCGGTTGCCCAGCACCTTTCTTGTTTTAAGGGGCTGCACAAGGGATGGTTTCTCCTACAATATTTCATGGGAAGGCCTATCCCTCGTCAATTAGGCATGAGGCTGCAAGCAGTGGTACAGTACCCAGCCAAACAAAGTCCAATCTTTTTCGAAGGAGTTACCTCTTCTGGAGGGATGACGTCAACCCAGGCTTCCTATGATATGAACGCAGTAGTTCTAAAACCCTTGTCGAATTCCCTTGTGCTCCATGCGTCTTTTGAAATGAACCCTAATAAATTTCACTGCAATCAATTCAATCCCCAACAGAGTGACTGACAATATTGAATGCCGCAATCCCCCAGACATATCCTCGGCAACGACCCCCTGAATAAAATTGTAGTTCAATATGCCCAACTCAACTATTGGTCAAGATTGGGGTGCCCAAACATGGATGGTCAATACTTCAAAATTCCTGTGGGTTGGCCTCCTATTGTTCATTATTTTTCCCTCACTCCATTGGGCACTCTCAAGGGTTACCCGTTCCCTCACCAATGATGTCATTTCCATGAATACCCTATGTAATTTCTGACTGCTGTGACCAGGATTCAACACTTTCCGCCACTCGGGGATGTGAATCGTGTCGCCACACCCTATGCGTGTTCGCTATCGTATAAAATAACCATTTAGGAAGACTTGCGCGGGATTGGGTTGTTTAGGAAATCTTGTAAGTAGCGTCAGCACCAAAAATTTCAGATCAACTGACAGAGTGAGCACAAATCCTTACAATTACAACGCCGCTTCATCCCCCAACTCAACCATGGGATAGGGCACCCCCCGAAAATTGGTGTGTTTTCCACATTTTTCCCAATATATGTTAAAGTCACACATGGGAGGTATACCGAATTGTCATGTGAAAGCCAAATATTCATGGGTGAAATTCCAATGTTTATGTCAAGTTAACATCCTAAATCCAAATTTTGGCTGGTGAAATCACCACCCACCTGGACCGTCAAAAACATGATATTATATACCAGCCCCATTCTTCTAGATGATTTTCCGGTGTTTTCCCATAGTTTTCCTGTTAACAAAGGGACCAGGGATACCCCGGTAAACTAACATAGCTATGGCAAATCACCTTCTTTTTTCATAGGTAAACAAACTAAATGGCCATATTATCCATATTCATCCATATTCAATAAGTTCAACTGCTATGTTACTACCCATGGCCCCATGGCTAGCCCTGGCCGCTCCAAGGCACTTGGTCAACCCTTGCAGCGCGTGGCGTTCGGAGGCCACGAGCCACGCGGCCGGCGCGGCGTCGGGCTCCAGGCGCAGCGGACGCCAGCGGCTGTCCAACTCATCCAGCGCCTGCACCGCGGCGTTGAAGGCCACTTGGTGCCTGGGAAGTGAAGAAGATGAACAACATCTGCCTGGTCATATTTATATTTTTTTTATCGTAACATATGGTAATATGAATGTAATATGAATGTAATATGAATGTAATATGAATGTAATATGAATGCAATATGTATATGTGATATATATATATATGATGTATGAAATGATTTTGGTATGTGTGTGTGTGTGTCCGGATAGATCTGTATGATAATGTGTATGTGTGCGTGCATGTGGGCATGTAAAGACAGAGAGATTTACACTGATTTGCACATGTAACATTGAGAAACGATAAATCTGGGCAAATCAGAATGATTTACCAAGCTGAAAAATACGCATTGACCCTACAGTAGCGCTCATCCAGTTATAAACCAAATATGTAAATCTACATCATATGGTTGAGTTATAAAACCAACGAAATAAAAACACCACCATATGTCCTAACCCTCTGGTAAACTAACATTTCTATTGAACATGGCCCAGTCGAAATAGTTGATTTTCCCACTACAAATTGTGATTTTCCATAGTAAACTGTGACAGTTTACCAGAGGGTAATCGTTCTCCGGTGCTGTCTCTTTCCGAGTTTCTGTTGTACCACTTGTTGTCCGTTCGTTTGAAGTGTTGACCCTGAACCTTCGAGGTTGGATTTTTGAACGAGTTCTCGAAGGGGTGATGATAAGAATCCCCAACATGTTCTGTTTGTCTTTGGGTGCTTTATCAGCAATATTTTAGTGTCTCTTGGTTAGTTTTCTCCCCATCTTTACATTAGTCAAGAAATGTCAAGAACCACCCAATCTCTCCATAACAACATGTAGGAACGAACATCTGATAATTTCCAATTTCCCAACCCAGGCGCCCTTCGCCATGGCCAAGGCGGCCAAGGCGCAGCCGTTGCCTCGTTTCCACCACTGCCAGCCACGACTTGATGGAGGTCAATGCGCTCTGAAGCTGCAGCTGCTGTCGGCAAAGTTCACCTGGCGTTTATGGTCCAGAGGAACAAGCCGGACATCAGTGACATCACCATGAAAATAATTCTTGGATATTAACCCCAATAAAAATGAATTGATATATATATATATACATAGTAATTATACTAGGGATTGATAGGGATTGATTGAGTTTTCCATCCTTTGGAATCGCAATCGGTCCAGTTAGGAAACTTGCAAACCAAGATGGCCTGGAAGAACCATCTCCTTTGGAACTTGTGTCCACAAGTCGTGGGATGGCCAGAACTTTGTTGAACATGTTCCCTCTGAGCAACTTCGGACGGTATCTTCCGAATGATATTCATCAGAAGCACGACAACTCTGCCAAACAAAACACATAAAGAGTCATGACAGCGGAAAAAACAATCCCCTCCCAGGCCGGTTGCGTAGCCCAGTAGCTGGCCTTCGGTGTATTTCCTTCGAATCGCGTGGTTTTCTCTGCGGGCTGCCTCCCATTCGGACAGGAAGAGGCAGCTTTCTCTTTCAGCCGCCTCTGCCATGGCAACCCTCCCCTCCTGCTGATGTATGTCTCCTGTGCCCACATCAATGGGGCAAACGAAATTCATCGAAAATCTATGTCTGAAGAACCAGAATGCTGACATAGTCCACTTCTGTTTTTTTTTTGGCATGCATTGCTGATGTAAATCAAGGTCATTGGCTTCTCGGTCAGCTCGTGAGCAGCTGCAATCATCCAATCATCCAACTAGGAGACCGAAATATCGATGTTCAGTGAATTGCCATTGACACATGTGATACCTGTGCCTGGCTGCAAGACCCGTTTTCCAATCCTTCACACTGCTGTCAGCAGGCCTAGCTGCTTTGCACCAGACCCCGAGGAAAAACTATATACTATACAATAATCATATACAATCAAAGCAACTTTGTGCTGGGTGACTTCCCTGTTTGGTCGCACTTCATGGTACGATGAAAATATTCAAAGTTCACCTGATGCTTGTCATCGTGCAATGATACCTTGCACCGGAGGCAATGTCATGGGGGTTCCCACAAATTCGGTTCAACGGTTCAACCACCAACCTACCAAACCAGCCACCCGTGCCAAGACACACAGGGTGCGAAGGTACAATTGTAGCGCAAATCTGATGCCGTGTAGGACTGGCGCGCCTCCAAGCTATTGCCTGTGATTGGACATGTGCCACTCAGAACCACGATGACTTCAAAGAAATCCATAGCCTTGGTGAGCGGCCACTAGCTCACTTGCAGCTTCCCCCAGTCGACGATGGTGTCAACCAACCAGCCATCTCCAAGAAACTTAATCTGTGGACTATGTACTTACTACAGTGTTTACATATATCATATATATATCATATATCATACATTTGCCATCAAACTGTCAAATTGCCTCAAAATAATCTCCAGCTTTGGGGCCTCAACCTATGACCCCCCCCTCCCCCTTGTCCGCGCTTTCCGGTCCAGCAGCCTGGATTTGGTCGTGAAACTGCTGCATGTTGCGTACGGGGCCACTACCTGAGCTGAAACCATTGACTTCTGAAGGGCTACTCTACACGGTTTCCAATAAAGAAAAAAAAACGGTGATAGAGGGATGGCTCCAAAAATGGCGAAACAAGAGTTGGTGACCCCGAAATTGTATGTGTCGTATCATTGACCTTGAATTTGTATGTTTCGTGCGAACAATGGCCACATTGGCAGGCCATTGGCACCTGATTCTCGAACTTGTGGGTCCCCCAGTGGGGCCATGGTTGTCAGTTTGGGGTTGCAAGCCCCCTGCTGGTAACGTAAATCTAGCCAGCTAATCGCAACTGCTGTCAAGATGCTCAGGGGGCTGGTCTCGTCCAAACAATGAACCACTTTGGTAGGCAGTGTGAGAAAAAGTTTCCCATCCTCGGTGGCTCAATGAGAGGATGCTGCACTACGGGAATGGCAACAAATCAATGGCTGGGTCCCCCTGAAACCCTATATGTACGACCGAAAACAATTGCATTGGAACTTTGGAGGACCGTTTTCGCGTTAGAACTGGTCACTTTAGGTTCCAGGCTCAATCTTGATCATCCAATGATCATCCCATCCCCCTTCATAGTAAGCCCTTGCAATTCGGACCCCCAAATTCCCAGTATATAACTGAATAAAGATACCCATAGATACCCCCACAAAACCAACTGTTTCTCCGATTTTCTCCGGCCCACAAGGCCCACGGCTGCATCCAAGCCACCGCAATGTTGATGTCAGGCTCTTCCAGGGCCATCTGATGCGTGTCCACGTCCAAGAAGCCCTCCATATCCGCATCCACAGCCACTCGCCCGTGTTTGATGAGGTACAGCCGCACCATGGGCTCAATGAGAGGCTTGCGCGCCACCTTAAGAAGTGGTTCAAAATTATGTGTCCAAAAGAAAACGGAATAGTTTCAAGACTAGGCTTGTCTGCTGTCTGCCTTTTTGCTACCCTCTGGTAAACTAACATAGCTATAGAAAATCACTATTTTTAATGGGAAAATCCACTATAAATGGTCATTTTCAGTAGCTATGTTAAATTACCAGAGGGTACTCCCCATATCAAAGCCACAACATCCCCACCTCACAAACCCGGAAGGCAATCTTCACGAAGCCGTTTTCCTCATAAACAATAGCCACATCCGTGAAAATGATGCTGGCCGATCGGGTGAAGGCGGTGGAAAACCGCGTGTACATGAGATTCAGAAAGATTGCATCCATCAATAGACCAATCAGCGATTGCGCCACCAGCAATGGAACCACCTCTGGACATTCATCAAACATCCTTGGACGCTACATGACCGGAGTTGCTGTTAACTGAGTTCATCCCAGACCCTGTCCAGCTATGACCGGTCAAACATTATGGAAGGCACGCACGAGACATATGTATGTAATAGACTCTTTGTATTTGCATGTGACGGTGTGAAAAGAAAAACACGTAAGTATATTAGATATATTATTATATAATTATATATGCGCGGAGTGTGTCTGTGTGAGTGTTAGAAGGCAGAAGGCATACTAGATTAAATGACTTAAATATGTATGTATGTGTACTTATCTACTAATTTTTTATTTCTATGTTCATCTTTCTAATGTCACTTACCTATTTAGTATCATACAGGCATACCCTAAATAGTACAACAACTTGCAAGCTACGGAATTTAAGACCTCCCCACTTTCAGTTGAGGAGCGGGTCGGAGACTCCATAGCCGATGGTGGTCATGGTCTCCTTGCAGCGAACCCATGGGCTGTACCATCCAAGAGGAGGGTTCCTGTACACAATGTCTGTCAATTACAAGCCAATCCTGCGACCTCTGAAGATTTCTAGGGCACACTGAGAAGTGACCGGCTCGAAATAACAGGAGGTCTTCAACCGTTCTAAGCAGGCCTGGCATAAAATCACACCTTTAAGCAGGGACGCCAAGAAAGGATTGAAAATAGAACAGCCTCAAACTGAGCTGGATGCCTTTTGCATGAGGCCTCAATGTTAAACTGAATGTTAAAGCATGTCGTAGCTCATTCCCTTCAATACTCTGCCATGTTCTGCAAATCCTGTGGCTCAATCTCAACTGACTCCATGTTAACTGACTCTATGTTCACTTCACCTGTGTTTCTCCACAATACGACGTGCATCTGTTCCTGTCGTGGACATGATTGCACGAATCAGAGCAACATTCTCGGACAAACACAAACCAAGACCAACTAGATGCAAAATGGAATGTTAACTCCCCACAATGGAGCAACTGCAAAATTGAGAGCATTCTGGAACCGGCTTGGCGTTTCTCCTCCCATTTCCCTTCACCTTTTCTCCCTCAAACGCACTGAAAGGAGTTCTGCAGAAAGCTCTGAGTTGTGCTTGCGACACTTGATGTTCCTTTCGCCACGCTTTGCAGTGCAGAGATGGGCAAAACCAAATTCACCACGTTCAAAGTCGGTGCTTCATATGGTGACAATTCATCTGCCAGCTCTGTTAGTGCGGACTTCAAGGCTCGCAGAGATTGTTCGGCCCGGCGCTGGGCCACCGCGAAGGGCAGGGAGGTGTCGGAGGTGCCAATGTCCAGCAGCAGCAGGGGCAATGTGACCTCTGCCACGTGGCAGCGGTGACACTCCGAGAAAATCCGGCGGAGCGCCCGGTGCAGAGAAGCTGGCAACTCATCGGCGGAGTGAGCATCCGCAGCCACCAGGAGATGAAAAGCTGCATGAAGTCGACCCAAATTCGAATGTCTCGTGCAGAAGTAGTCACCTGGGCGGAACACGCCGCCAACTCGCTTCACTGCTTCGAACTGGTCCTTGAGGGGAGGGAAATGAAAGTCAGTCATGCGCTGGCACCGAGCTTCGAAATCTCGGAGCATGGAAACTTGGACTGTGTCAAACTGAAGGTTGGCTGGGGTTGGAATGATCAATGCGCGAAGTCTGTCGGAATACGCGCTGGGGGACAGTTGCAACCTAGGAAAGCTCTGACTTTGCCAAAAGCCAAGTGAAGAAGACTTGAAAGAGTTCTCAGAAGTCTGCGACATGGCTGGCGCTGACTGAATCGTTATATCTTGGCTCTGACACGCTGCAAGAGAGCTTGTGTAGGAATCACATCTGTAGCTTTCAAGGCCCATAAAGTCGCTGGGGAGTTGCGGACCTGCTCCGTCTGCATCATTTTCTGCAGATGTTTCGGTAATGCCACCTGCAAATTCCATCACATCTCCCACAAACAGCCGAAGGACGAAAAACACATTACGCCCAAATGTGGCGCGCACCTCAGAAATCTTTGTCAGACGGCTATCTTCACCGACCTCCGGCTCTGACCCGGCTGCTTTAGATTGTCTATCTGTCCATGCTTTGGGATGTAGCGGACAAGCTAAATAAGCATTCCTTTGGTCGTCTGGCACGGAAGGTGGCCCACTAGTTGCCGCTATCTCCCCGTCCCCCAAGACCTCCTGTTCAAAAAAGTCAACGACCAAGCCCCGGTAGGATGCCTTTTGCTTCATCTTCAGCTGTTCAATCTCACTCTGCCAGTGGCGTTCCAAGGCATCGATCTCACTGACGTGTTGTCCCACCAAGACCTGTACCTCTGGCATCTCAGCAGCTGCCTCCTCGCTCTGGCGCCTGAGGCGCTCCATTTCGATGCTCTGGCAGCGCTGCAGCTCGGAGACCGCCACGGCACGGCCCAGGACAAGCTCACGGATGGCCTGGAGGTACGACTCCTCCAGGGTTCCAATGGTGCGGAAAAAGGATGGCCTGTGTCGAAGCAGGAAATCATAGGCACACCAAAAAGTCATAGATCCACCAGTGGAACCGGAGGAAAACTGAAGGCCCCAAGGACACAAATCTGGTGGAATAGCACCTCTCAACTGCAAGCAGCTGGGATCCAACGGGCTCTCCGGCAACCGTTCTGCTTTGTGAAGCAAGGGATCTGTGAAGGGAAGCGGATCAAAGGGCACTACATCCGGCGTGATCTCCATCTCTTCACCTAACGACTCTCTGATTGCCAGAGCCACGTGTTCCAAAGTCGGCCGCAGGAAGCAACTCGGCAGGTGTGCCTTGCGAAAGGTCTGCAAAATGCGAGTGAAGGCATCGTCCCCTTCCAGAATCTGCAAGCTCACCACCAACTGATTGGTCCCGAGGCGATGGAAGACGCGCAAAGACAGATCTCGAGGAACTGCTAACATATCAAGTTAGTCAGAAATCCTCGGTCCCCAACCACTGCGAGTTGCAAAGATGCCTCATGCACTGCTGGCCGGGCTTGAGACAGAAAAAAGCTGGCGAGTGACAGGCAGCCCCAAAGAATCCAATTTGTACTTGTTCAACCCATTTAAGCTCTAAACAAGAAACGGCAAGAAACCATGGCTGCTTTCGGTCTTCAAATGTCTCTGGCCAAAGTCTTGCCAAATCGGGTGGTTGCACCTTAGACCCATCCTAGCAGCATAGTACGTGTAACATGAAATCACCAGGACCAAGCCCATGATTGCATGGCTCAGACCCTAAGTTTGTCTCACCAGACAGTCACACAATGTCACACCCTTTAATCCCAGTCTCCAAGGACAGCAGGAAGGCCCTGCGAAAGTTCAACTCGCGACTCTCACAGTCATTGGCAGCATGTTGCCACCAAAAAGTGAACAAGAGCCAGGTCAAGATGTAGACGACGCAGTAGTTGAGCAGCATCCATCGCAATGGCATATTGGCCTCGGCTGTATCGCCAGGATGAAACACATGGAATTGGGCCCTGGTAACCCTAGTAGCTTCGTTGGCTCCTGGGAAACCGAATGTTGGAATTTGAGATCATCCGCAGGTGAACCGTTGCATGCTGCATGCACAAACTGCGGCCCAGTGGCCAAGTAATGAAATATGTCGCTGCGCACAAACTGCTCAAATCGGCTGACCCCAACATGACTGATGCGAAAACTTCCTCTGGTGCGGGCTTTTGGAACCCCTCGCTGCAGCAAGCCTTGGTTGCGTTTGGTTGATGCTCTGCTCAGGAAATAAACCACAATTCCAATTTCTCCAGATGGCCACAAGATATGATTAACCCAGCTTTGCAACCCAACAGCATACCTGAATCTTCCACCTACGTCTTTTTTCAGACCCTGTGCCAAAGTCCTGTTTTTTCAGTACCCAGAAAACTTTTCAGGACCTACTCTCAAATTCAGGACCTGGCCATTTTGGGGTATCAATGGTAATGGCAATCATTGGGTGCAAACATGTGAAACCAACATTTGGTGGATATTCAAGCCATTGGCATTGATCCACGCAAATAAAAGCACTCCCAGCCCAAACTCATGGCAAGGCAGGATCAGAATATAGTATATTCCAGAAAGTATGTCAGAATAGATGCCAGATAGGATGCCAGAAAGAATGTCAAATAGAATCTCAGAAAAGAATGTAAGATAGTATGTCAGAACATATATGCCACATATACGTCCAGATGATATGTCAGAAACTATGTCAGAATAGTGTGTCAGGGTGGGGATCACTCTTAGTAAGGCAATTTTGAAAATATATTTCAGGTTCGGAATTTTCAAACTGTTGTCCTTCAGGCGCCGAAGCTCCCGTTGAAGGTCAGCATCGCCCCATGTCAACTGGTCCAGTCCCACTTCCATTTCAACAAGTCCAACTTCATCGATTAGGGTGTTGGTTGAATGGACTTGGGACTCTAGCTGGCACGGCATCCCTTGTAACCCTGTAGACACTGTAGTGACAAAAAGATTGTAACACACAGAATCAGCATCATTTTGATCAGGCATTCTTTTTGCTAATCCTTTCTCCCTATTACGAAAAATACCCCCAAATGACAAAAACTAGGTGCGATTTCCAATTTTGGGAAATGTCAAATTGGTTAATCTGATTTTTAATTGATCCCCTTGAGGAAACAATTTTAAAAATGAAGGTACCATGTGAGGGTTTCACCCCCAAAGAATAAAAAACTAGTCAACACCGGGGTGTCTTTTATTGGGGTCCGTCCTTTAAAATCGTCAATTTTAGTTTTTTTAATTCAGGTGTTGGTGTTTTATTTGATACTAGGCGAAAGCTTCGAAATCCTATTCTTGGCAGTATTCTATTTAAAGATTATTTTCGCGGATTTTGAAATTAGAAACAAAAAACGGTTTAATCCCTTCCCCCTGTTGCTAAACAGTCGCCCCTTCACCCACCCACCCAAATAACAAACACCTGGAGGAGCTTTTAGTATTGGGGGGTCTTTAGTATTAGGGTACGAAGCTTCCCCCTAATACTGATAAAAAACACACATATATATATATACACATATTTCTATTTCAAAATCGATCAAATTTCTTTCTTTTTAAATCCAATTAAAATATGGCAAACAAGTGGATTCCGAAGCTTAATATCAAATAAAAACCCCCACCATAAAAAACTATGTATGTTTTTCTATTTCGAAATCGATTAGATTTCCTTTTAAAAATTAAATAAAATATGGCCAAAAAATTGGATGTCGAAGCTTTTCCCTTATATTAAACCCTAATATCATTTTGTTTTTTTCCTGTTTCAAAATCGATTAGATTTCCTTTTGAAATCTAATGAAAAAAACAAAAATTGATTTTGAAGCTTTCCCCTAATATCAAATTAAAATCCAATTATTAAAATATGTTCAAAAATTGGATTTCGATGCTTCCCCTAATCTTGCATGAAAAATTCCAATATAAAAAACTAAATTTGTTCTATTTCAGAATCGATTAGATTTCCTTGTAAATTCAAATTAAGATATTGCCAGAAATTGGATTTCGAAGCTTTCCCCTCATATTAAACCCTCATATCAAAGACTATTTTTTCTATATCAAAATTCATTAGATTTCCTTTTGAAATATAATTAGAATATGGTCAAAAATTGGATTTTGAAGTTTTCCCCTAATATTACATTAAAAAACCCTAATATAAAATATTATTTTTTCTTTTTTGAAATCGAGTCGATTTCCTTTTAAATTGTAGTAACAAAAATAAAAACAAAAACCGGATTTCGAAATGTTTCCTCTAATATTAAATTACCAGCCCTAATATATTTTTAAAAAAAACTGTTTCAAAATCGATTAGTTTTCTGTTTAACATATAATTAAGATATTGCTAAAAATTGGATTTCGAAGTTTTCCCCTAAGATTAAATTAAAAACACTAATAAAAAAAACTATGTTTTTTCGATTTCAAGAATCGATTAGATTTCCTTTTGACATCCAGCAAAAATATTGCCAGGAAATGCCAAAAAGTGGATTTCGAAGTTTTCCCCCAATATTATATAAACGTTGTAATATAAAATACTTATTTTTTCGACCTTAAAAGACCCTAGTTTAAAAAATCACCGGGGCTGACTAGTTTTTATTTTTTGGTGGTGAAATCCTGAAATGGGACCTTCATGTTTAATTTGTTTTTGAAAAGGTATCAATTAAAAGTCAAACTGGCCAGCCTGAAATTTCCCAAAATTTAACGCGGACCCTAGTAAAAGGAATCAATGTAATATTTTAGTATTTAGGGTACGTTTAGTAAAAGGAGGTGGGGATTAGTAAGGTTTTCAATTTAATATAAGGGGAAGCTTCGAAATCCAATTTGGCAAGATTTGAGTTAGATTTTGAATAGGAATTCAATCGGTTTTGAAATATAAAGTTCATTTTTTAAAACGAATGTTTTCAATTTAATGTCAGGGGGAAGCTTCGGAATCCAATTTTGGCAATATTTTAGTTAGATGTTATTTAAAAATGTTTTCCAATTTAGTTTTTTTTAACCAAGGGGGAAGTTTCGCACCCTCATACTAAATACCCACTAAATACAAAAAACTATTCCGTGTGTTCATTATTGGGTGGGGAGGGGCAGACGGTTTATTATGACGCAGGGATTGGTCAGGCATCACTTGCTGGAATTATTGGATTCTTTTGGGATGATTGGTATGATGTTTAGTCAGGCATGGTTCCCTTCAGTCATGCACGATTTTTGCAAAAATCCTATTTAGGCACGACCCCAAAATCCCAGCCCGGCAAATTCCGGCCCGGGCCCGGCAAATTCCGGCCCGCGCCCTGCAAATTCCGGCCCTGCGTTTTTCCAAAATCAGGCAAAACCAGTAAATCAGGTATTAAGTCAGGTGTAGTTACCTTTTAAGTCATTAAGGCTAGTCAGGCATGGTTCCAGTGGGTACCTTTTAATTGTGAAGGCTAGTCAGGCATGGTTCCCTGAATTCAGGGGCATGGGTACCTTTTAATTATGAAGGCTAGTCAGGCATGGGTTCTGTTAAGTCAGGCGTGGGTGGGTACCTCTTAATTATGAAGGCTAGTCAGGCATGGTTCCCTTAAGCCGGGTGTGGTTACGCTTTAAGTCATGAAGGCTAGTCAGGCATGGGTACCTTTTAAGTGATGAAATCTGAATCAGGCGGAGCTCCTATTCTAAATGTGTTAAATCCAATTGTTCAGTGTGGAAAATCGATTTTTTGGCTGGTCTACGGGCAAACCCTGTGTCTTCCAATACCATAGCGTGCTGATGCCGCTTGCCTGCATAATAGTTAAGGCCAAAGCTTAGGTCATCAGTGTGATCCTGAAATGGCGCCACGACCAAGAAGATGACATGTGTAAAATGGGCCCTGGATTAACAAAGGCTGACTAATGAATTTGGAGGATGCCACTAAAGTATGACATGTAATCACTTTTGAGGAGCACTCTATGGCACGCAGCGCGCGCAGCCTGCTTTACGGTTTAGCGTTTGAAAGTTTTAGGCTTTGCCTCTATGGCACGCAGCGTTTGAAAGTTTAACCGTTTACCTCTATGGCAGGCTGTGCGCGCAGTACGCGTTACGGTTTAAAGTTTGGAAGTTTTAGGGTTTATGTGTGTGGCACGCAGTGCGCGCAGCGCGCATTAGGGTTTAGGGTTTGGAAGTTTTATAGTTTATTTTATTGCATGCAGCGTGCACAGCGTGGGTTGAACTTTAGGGTTTCGAAGTTTTAGGGTTAACCTCCATGACACGATGGTTTAGGGTTTGGAGATTTTAAGGGGTACTTCTATGGCACACAGCGCGCGTTAGGGTTTAGGGTTTAGGGTTTGGAAATTTTAGGGTTTACCTCTATGACACGAGAGTTTCAAGTTTGAAGATTTTAGGGTTTATTTCTATTGCACAAAGCGCGCGCAGCGCGCATTAGTGTTTAGGGTTTGAAGGTTTTAGGGTTTATCTCTGGCACGCAGCGCGCACAGCACGCATTAGGGTTTAGGGTTTGGAAGTTTTAGGGTTTACTTTATTGCATGCAGCGCGCGCAGCGCGCATAGAGTTTAGGGTTTGGAAGCTTTAGGGTTTCAAGGGTTCCAAGGTTCCAGGGTACCAGGGTCCCACGGTTTCAGGGTTCCAAGGTTTCCAGGGTTCCAAGGGTTCCAGGGTTTCAGGGTTCCAGGATCCCAGCAGGGTGCCAGGTGTGCAGGGTTGCAGGGTTCCAAGGTTCCAGGGTTCCAAGGTAGCAGGGTTCCAGAATCCTTGAGGGTTCCTGGGTGCCAAGGTTCCAAGGTTTCAGGGTTCCACGGTCGCAGGGTTCCAAGGTTCCAGGGTTTCAGGGTTCCAGGGTTCCGGGGTTCCAGGGTTCCAGGGGTCCGGGGTTCCAAGGTTTCAGGGTTCCAGGGTTCCAGGGTACCAGGGTCCCACGGTTTCAGGGTTCCAAGGTTTCCAGGGTTCCAAGGGTTCCAAGGGTTCCAAGGTTCCAGGGTTTCAGGGTTCCAGGATCCCAGCAGGGTGCCAGGTGTGCAGGGTTGCAGGGTTCCAAGGTTCCAGGGTTCCAAGGTTGCAGGGTTCCAGAATCCTTGAGGGTTCCAGGGTGCCAAGGTTCCAAGGTTTCAGGGTTCCACGGTCGCAGGGTTCCAAGGTTCCAGGGTTTCAGGGTTCCAGGGTTCCGGGGTTCCAGGGTTCCAGGGTTCCGGGGTTCCAAGGTTTCAGGGTTCCAGGGTTCCAGGGTTCCAGGGTTCCGGGTTCCGTTCCAAGGTTTCAGGGTTCCAGGGTTCCAGGGTTCCAGGGTTCCATTCCGGATTTTGAAGGCTGCAAGTCCCCGCGAGCCAGCCCCAGCCCTAGAGATTGAAACCCAACAGGCCCTGCTGTTGGGAACAAGCAAAACCATCTGCCGCTACCAGGGCACGTGGAGAGCGCACCGTCAAACAGTCGAAGAGTCCCGTCCCTTCGGAGCTCTCCGACAGCGTCGTCATGGCAATTGGCGGCTTTTAATACGCGAAGTCGCCAGGATGTTTGAAATATGTTGGTCCATGATGTTCCATGATGGTCCATGATGGTCCATGATGGCCCATGGTGTTCCATGATGTTCCATCCATTTGGGATGATTATCCGAAATTACTTGCATATCCCACACAATTTTAACCACCAACCAGTGGTGTTCGGAGGTGATTTAACTGGTCTTGTTCAACCCACCCTGATCCTGGGTTGATCCAGGGGGCAAGAGTATGGGAACAGAATCTTCATATCGTCGCTGATATGTTACCAAAGGTAAGTGTAGGTAAGTAAGAAGCTAAAGGACAGCTTGAAGCACGTGGGTAAATTTCAATTTGATAGAATCTGTTGCTGCAGCTTTGCATCCAGCATCCAGGATCCAGCATTTGCAATCTTGAAAGGAACTGCCACATTCAGTTTCAAGTGGTCAACCTAGGATTGATAACCAGTGGGTTGTTTGATTAAAAATGCACCATTTACCATACTTCTATGTACTTCCCATTCATCGGCAATGGGCTCGCGAATCACTTGGGAAGCCGAAAGTTCTGCCCCCAGGCCTGGCGGCGCTTAGACCTGAAAGAAAATCCGCGTTTTTGGTGGGGAATATGGGGGAATGTAAGGCACCAAATGTTTGCAGCACCAGGCTCCATAGAAACAATACAAAGTACTACTGAGTACTCTTTGGAGGGTAGATCAAATGATATAAGTCGTAAAGAACTCATACAACTTGCACACTGTATGCAACTACATGATCTGATCCAATCGGATCAAACATAACATGTTTCTATCCGATGGCAGTTTTTCCGTTTCCAATGGAACACCGCCTTAGGTGGTTCCTGATCGGGAGCAGCTGATCTCTCGCCTTCTGTTTCTTGCTGGGTGGCTCTGCGTCACCAGCACCTCAGCAGCTGAGACGTGATGTTTGAAAATCTAAGCCCTGGCAATTTTTTGAATTATGAACGATATGAAATGTGTATGCATATATATATAGGGAGAGAGAGAGAGAGAGAGTAATATGAAATATGTATATATGAAATGCATTGAAATGCTAGGCGGAAAGATAAATAGGAATGGGAATGGTGAACCGGTGTACGTAGCTAAATTCTGCTTCGAGAAAAAGATGTCACCACGATCTGCAGCCCCCTGTCCCCAGGGATAAACCATTTCACCACGGCCCCACCTCCGCCTTCCTGAACTTCAGCAGTTCCAGCGCCGCTGTCTTCCACCTCTAGGTTTCAATGATGTCAACAGGGCCATAACATGCCTATGGCTCCTGTGGCAATGGAGTCCCCGGTTTCAATATTGAAAAGCATCTGCAAATCGGGAGTGTTCGGCCACGTTTAACTGCAGGAGGCTACAAACTGCAGGGAAGGACTCATGCATCTTTCCACTGGTCACTCACAAGCTTGCACTTGTCTTCTCTCGGCGACCTTCTGACTCATTTTCAACATTCGACGGCCTGGAACATTAGGGTAGAGACCACAAGGCCAGTTTCTAACTCGCGTGTGGAACCTGTTGGAACAGCAAATTCTTTGGCCATCCAAGTTCTACTGTATGCACTATATGAATTACAAATTTCCTCAGCGCTAGAAGCTGTGACGCCAAGGACGGCTGCAAATACCTGAGATTACAAGTGATTTCAAGGCTTGGGGGAGTCATGGCAAACATGTCAACACCACACTGGATGCCCTTGCTCTGCACTATCTGGGTCCGCTTCTGTCTCCCCAAGTTCTAGGCCCAGAGAGCATCTTAGGTAGATAGATAGTCAAATAGATAAGTGATAAATAGATCCCCGATACACAATGGATAACTACAGACACAACTCCAGAAACCCATCAATTCACCACCAATTCAACCAGGCACGGTCCTTATCTTCGAATATCTTCATGTTGTCATCCAATTCATTCTCCGAATCCACGCTTTGCGACACGCCTTCGCCAGCTGTTGGCAGATCTTGGGGTCGTCCTCCAACACCTTGGCCCAGTCGCTCGGCTGCCGCGCCTGGCCCTGGAAGACCACGGCACCACTTGCGTCGCTTTCGGCATCTGCGTCGGCAAGGACGTGGAGGTCCATGGCGGCCTGGGATCGCGAGAAAAATCAAGAGTCATCAAGTCACCTTGGATTTTGCCAAATTTTGATCATCTATCGCACATAATAGCACATATATTTATATTATTTTTATATAATATACAATGTTTCGGTGTGTGTGAACGAGCAGTGCCAGGCCTCAACCACACTGCTCTCCCAGGAAATGCCCTTCCCTAGCAGAAGGTCACACTCCACTGGCGGTCCCTTTGGTCCGTCCTTGTTCTTGACCTCAGTGCCATTTATCAACGAAAACGGGACTGCAGAATGGACCTGGGCACCTGGAAACTACTTTGACAAATTTCCCTGATTCGGGGACCCCTGTCCAACTCCCAAGGAAAGCGATAGAAGGAAACCCTGACACCAGCTAAAAGCATTTTTGATACAAGTACATTCAATGTCAATTAATACAATTCTGCTGAAGCAAGTAGGAGGTTACCACTTCCAGCAGTGTTTTCATTGCCTTTACATCCTCATCTTCACCGCCTTCGCTCCATCGTGGTCTCTCCAGCTGCCTCACTGCGATGCGAAGACTGCAACGGTACTTCACTGCATTGCCTCCACAGGTCACTTCGCTGTCAGCGCCATAGTCCGACCACCTGAAAATCTGGCCATGGAAGAGGGTGGAATTCGACATCTTAAATCTAAGGACGGGTGGTGACTTTATCAACAATCGAAATCACCCACAAGTGTTAGTAGTTCAAAGATCAAAGCCCCACCAGTTGCAAAAATCGCCTGCCTTGACCCTTTTGGTGGCACTCTTGGGGGGCTGATGGAAGGTTCGGCTGATAGGGGGAACTGACATACAACTCAAACTTTTCCCACCACTGGTGGCTCTCCAAGTCAGCCTGGAGTTCCTCAAAAGGTTGGTGAAAATGATGGTCGTCCCGGTCTCGGGCAAGATCTTCTCCATCCTTGTGCAGAATCTGCTCCTAAGAACCGTTGGGAGTGCTTCAAGAGGGCACCGGGAAACTAATGTTGACCTGGGAAACAAAGGAATTCTATGTTCAAGCCGCCTGTGGGATTTGGAATTCAAGGTAGCTGCTAAGCAAAAAAAAACCTCTGCTCCAAGCTGCAACAGCTTCGGCACTGCGAAGCCAACGTCTGTGGACGAAATGTCGGCCTCCAACTCCTCTTTGGAGATCAAGCTGGCGACACTGTCCAAAATGATGAGGTCATATTGCCTACCATCTCCAGGAACGCACCGTCAGGTTTCAAAAGTTGCGGGTTGGTTTTGCAAGATTTGCTTTGGCAAGGTCAAATCAAGAAAGGAAGGGCGTATGGAAATGTCCAATCCGATCCCATCAATGGAACGCCCCTCACATTGGATGTGATATCCACGTGCCCCCGAGACCCCAGTGATTCGCATTGTGAGGATATTATGTCACCATATGTCACATTGAAATCACGCCATCAATGCCTGGAATTCACCAGATCTACCATCATCTCCATGGCCTCCTCTGCATTCCTGCGGATTGATTCAATGTAGGCACCAGAAACCCTGGTGACTGGTGACTGGTTCAACTTCGGGGACCCGAGGTTTCAAATGCAGCTTGGTTTCTTCGGTCGGGCTCGAAGTAGCTGATCTTCAGAGGCGTCACCTGTGCTGTGGGCCGGAATGACATTCATTCGCACATGAACTTGATACTTCGCTAGAGACTTCTTGCTTGAATTTGCACATGTATTTGAAACTACCCCAGGGACTTCTAAATTGCAATTTCAAATGTACCAGTATTTGATACTGCGCTGGAGACTTCTTGCTTGCATCTGCGCATGTATTTGATGCTACGCTAGATACTTCTCGCTTGCTTTTGCACATGCAATTGCTAGTGTTTCCCAAGTCTTTTTTGGGCAATAGGCACCGTATGGATTGTCAAAGATGGCCATCATCATGAAGACGCTTGGTTTAAAAAACATTTCTATGAATGGGTGTGGGGCTCGCACGTCTTGCTGGTTACAAAAACATTTTTTTTTCAAAACCTTGCTGAAAAGTGCGATGGTTTGAGCGGACGCAATTCCATGGTGAACCAACATGACAAATCTTGCCCCATGGAACTATATACAAATTCCAAAGATTCACCAAACACAAATGAATGTATCGGAGTTGAAGCAATTTGAAAATTGTGACTGGCCATGAAGGGGACTTTGAAACATGAACAATTGTGGGCGGTGTACCTACGTAGTCGGCAATGTCAAAGAGCCGAATTTGAAGACAATCTAGCTCTAGCATGCTCTAGCAACCACAGGTGGCAAATGGCGGTTCCATCTGCCATACCCTGAGGAGGAAAGGAAAGAGTTCACATTCAAGATCAGTACAGTAATCTTACTTGATCCAACAAGCAAATGATACCATTTGAAAGTATATATCCAAGTTGCAGTGGGGCCACTGCCGGTCTACGTCCAGAACCTTGGAGTCTTTGAACTGTGACACTAAGTTCCAGCTGTTGTCAAGTTCCAGCTTCAGAAGACAACTGGCAGCAAATCAATCCTTTGCTTGAGACTATTGCTTGCAGTTCTCGACAAAGAGTTGGAGTGATAAAATTCTCAGCCCCCAAATCATGAAACCCAAGTCTGACATAGTCTGACCAGGCGCAGCGCAGCTCTGCTTGTTCCGCAGCGCAGCCCGTAGGCAGCTGAGGGCCAGGGAGGTCTTGCCCGACTGCGGCTCCCCAAAGATCTCCACCATGCGGCCGCGCGGCAACCCACCACACCTAGTAAAGTGTAGCTTTGCATGGCAAAGTGATCCCTGTAAGGCCAGTGAGATGCTCCACATCAATCCACAATCCACATAACGGTACTGTGGAACAATAAGCCCAGCAAGACATCATAAGACAGCCACCTGTATAATCTCATCCAAGGCTCAGGGCCAGGTCCAGGGTCAAGCTGCCAGTGCTCAGGAAATTCCTTGGTCATGGCAACCCATCAAGATCCAAAGTCGCGATTTTGCCATGATGTGATTTCACTTGTAAGCCACACTCACACGACACGGCCACTTTCTCGATGCAATCCCAGTCCAAACCCCAACCAAATCTCAACAATAAGAAACCATCCCATACCGGGCCATACCTGACATAAACTGACCTCCAAGTTCCAAGCCCAGTTTCTTCGTGTTCATTTTCTCCACCTGTTGCGGTGCCCGTTGCCGCCGGGCCGTCCAAGTCTTCCACGCGATGGCGCCCGTCACGGCCGCAAAGGCCAGGGAACTGCGCGGCACGGCCGGTGCCTTGGCCACGGCTGCGCCGCGCGGCGCTGGGCGCAGCACTTGGGGTGCCCGGGGCACCCGGGGCGCCCGGCCCAGTGTCGCAGCATGGCTGGGCTGCATGGGATCAAGCTGCGAAGGCTGGAAGCAAAAGCTGCGTGGAGCAGTGGGGCACAGTAGTGCTACGTAGTGCTCAACTTCGATCAAATGTGAGGCCTTCATTGCTTAACTGCATGGGCTCTATGATAAAGGTAGGAAAAGGTGACATGCGTGGTCTTGGCCAAGACAGGAGCAGTAGGTGTGCAACTGTGCAGCTGAGGCCCTTACATTGGGAAGACCTGAGGTCAGTATGGGTTCCAAGCAGAACTCAAGTAGGCCAACTAATAGCACCCAAGAACGCAATGTCACCACATCACAAATGTAAAGAAAGAATGTGAACGTAGACATGTACAGTAATGGTTTTAAAAAGCTAAGGGCCCAAAACACTTGGGGATTTGAGGGTTCCCCAATGGCAGGACATGATATACAGTATTGTCCGGAAAGAAATGTCCAGAATCAGAAATTCTTCACGGGGCAGCGTAGGCGACTGGAACGACAAGTGGCTGGGAAGCAAATGTTTCTTGACTAAATCACCTTGGTTTGCAACCCACGCTGATCGGCCATCACCCACCGAAAATGATCAAAAACGACGCCAAAAATCTAGCTTGATGGCCTCAAATTTGCACCTATCCAAGTGTGTTGCCATGGAATCCACCTCTTGACCCATGACTGACTCGTGACCATCTACCAGGTGGCAAATCCGCTGCAAGTCTTCCTCGCTGAAGCGGTTTTCGCAGTCTTCACACAAGCTGTAGAGATACATGGTCTCCACTGGTGCCAAGTTGATCAACCTCAGAGCTGATGATCGACTTCAAGAAAAACCGTTGAAGCATGTTGAAACAATCATGAGTTCGGTTTCCAGCAACCCCCCAAAAAAAAACATCACGGCGCAATCAACCCAGCTCATGAGGCCATTTCTAGGGTTCACCAGCATGTCCTGCTTTGTGTCCCTTTTGCGGGGTTGCCATGATGTTCACTCCCCAAGTTGTTCCACAGATTTTGGCCAGGAACTGAAGCACCTCATCATCTGCCAACTCAAGATCCTCACTGGCGGCTGGTTCCAAGTGCAACTCGTTCCAAATGCACAGATTTGGACATGCCCAGCCCGACAAACACCATATATGAAAGGATAACCATTCGCTACCTATGTTTTGTTTCTTCGATATATAGTGTATGTAATTGTATGTACATGTATATGTTTATCTTTATGTATACTGCGTGTGTATGTATAAATACTTATATACGTGCATGTGTGTATATAGGCTATAGATAGATAGATAGATAGATAGATAGATAGATAGATAGATAGATAGATAGATAGATAGATAGATAGATAGATAGATAGATAGATAGATAGATAGATAGATAGATAGATAGATAGATAGATAGATAGATGCATGCGATCATATGTGTACATGTCTGCCTATCATTCTTTATCCTACATCCCGTATCCTATCCTATATCCTAGTTGTATCTATCTATCTCTCTCTCTCTCTCGCCAATTGGTCTTACAAATTTCATGGGGTCCCAGTCATCCAGCTGAGCATCTGCAATCCCTGCCAGGAACTCATCCACTGCAGCACGCTTAGTTCCAACCGCAGGGTAGCAGTTCTCCAGCCAGGTCAGCAGCTTGGTATCCTTGGCCCATCTTGGGATCTTGGGGTCCAGGGCAGTCGCGTTCAACGAGTCGGCTGACGGCCCTGAGGCCCTGGGCCCTCCCCACACCCGACGGCACCGAGGTGCGGCTTCCAACTGTCTGGCCAGGCCCTCCCGGTTGTCGCGGCTGGTGAGGAGTTGATCCAAACGCTCCCTCCTGGAGGATGCACCCGCACCACTTCAACACTGACTTCATCACTTCATCAAACCAAGTTAATTATGGGAAGACTGTGCCAATGTCGTGGCCTGCAAAAACCTCCCAAGAATCGAAAACTTCAGTGACCCTTGCACTGTCTCTTGGGCCGTCTGGAGGGGGCCACAAGGCTCCTACGACGCAGATCCGGTATCTCCTGCTTGACGATGGCATATACCTCACGGTGTAGATGTGTGATGGGAGGCTTTCTGATCAAAGAAGAAATCTGTGTGGTGGATCAATTTACAAGAAAACTCTTCTTGGTCATCTTTGGGCAACTTTCGCGACGTTCCAGGACAGCAGTTTACATGTCAGATCTGTGGAATTGGCCACCGGTGTATTGTCTCTCCAGGATAGTCCTGTTTGACTGAACTGACCGAACGAACGCTTCCATGCCATCATCCCTAGCCAAACCCCACCCAGCTCTGGAGGTCCAACTTACCCAAGCGTGGCCCACCTCCTGGTTGGTAAGGAAGTGCGGCCCCACTTGCAAGATCTTCCTCACAGGTCACCAACTTGCAAATTCCGTGTTAAACAGGTCCGGGGGGGATTCATATCTTCCATAGCCCAAGCCAAATCAAGCCAGGTGTCATGTGCTGCGCCCACTGGTAGAAAGAACCATGGCAGTGAGTCGGTCAGTACGGTTCCCCCTCTTGGTGTTGTGACATGCTGTTGACGAACCACTGCTGACAAGGCGATTGTCTTGCAAGCAGGGCCCGGAGCTCCTGGGTATATCAAGAGACAAACTGTGACCATCTGCGGGGTACCTAGCTTTGGTGGCACTAGCACCAAGGCTTTCTTCCTGCTGGCATCAACCCCCACTGCAATCGCTACATGCCCAATCTATGCTTTGCAATGCACATGCACTACGAGCCAAAACCATCCAAAACCAATGATGGATGCTGGTTTGCCAAATGTGGGTGCACCCTTGCCACATCCGGTTTTCCTTGAAAACTCTTGATTCAAAATTGCTGCGTGCCGATCCCCTTCGTTTTTACTGATGCCGTTGTGGCCAAAAACTTGACCATCTAGCCTCTGCTCTGATCATGTATGGGAACAGCACTGGTTCCCGGTTCCCCAGTGGTCCAGTCCGCAAATGTCCGCAAACAGTTTTTTTCTCATGCATCTGGTTTGTCACTATCAACTCTTCGGACTTTCCTGAGGGGGGATGCTTCGTCCAACTCGGATAGAAAGTGAACAATGTCCGCGCGTCCATGCTCAGACGCCAGATCCAAAGCAGTCTTTCCAGCGTTAGTGGTTGAGTTGCGACTGGCACCGCGCTCAACAAGGAAGCGGACCATCTCGAACTGGCCTTCTTGAGCTGCAAAATGCAGCGATCTGAACCCGTCCTTGTCGGCGTGCTCTTTGTCAACACCGACTTCAACCAGGAAGTTGGCCATTCCCTCCCAGCCTTGGTGAGCTGCAAGATGCAATGCCCCCGGGTTTGTCAAGAGCGGATCCTTGTTGGCCCCCACCTGTATTAGAAAGCGGGCAGTGTCGAAATGGCCACCCTGAAATGCGAGTTCCAATGCCGTTTGCCCACAGAGGTCGGTCTGATCTTTCCGCGCGCCGTTTTCAATCAGAAAACCTACAGCCTCAAGCTGGCCATTCTGAGCCGCCACATGCAATGGGGCGGCCATCTCGTGTCCCATGATGCTTGCTGCATTTGCATTTATCTCTGCACGCGCCTCCAGCAAAAGCAGCATGGGCTCAATATGTCCGTACTCTGCAGCACAATGCAAGGCTGTCACAACTGTCACACTCTCATCATGTTCATATTCTACTACGTTTCTGATCTCCGGATTTAGCGGGCGCTTCAGAAACTCTTCAAGACCAGCTGTATCATTTTCACTTGCTGCCACCATCATATCTTCCTCTTCTTCCTCGGTGGGTGGGCAAAATGTCATGACCACCAGCTGAATCTTTTCCGGCACGGAGGCAAAAACCTCATCATCTGAGATCTCACTAGCACCATTTTCCAAAAAGAGTTTTTGTCTGAACCTGGTTACACCAATCTCAGCTGTCAAGGCTTGCTTCACGGCCTTGCCGGTTTTTCCTTCGAAGTCAGCCGCGTCAAATCTCGCAACTCTTTCGCCAGATGCCAAGAAACACACCTCCATGGCTTGTTTGACTCAGCTTCAATTGCGGCAAAGCTGCAATAATGGATATGAATCGATGCGGAGAGTGCTACATGCGAGTTCGAATTGTCACGGGTGCTTTCACCTACAGTTCTTTTACAGTAAATTGACCTGAAATTCTTTGGGTTGTAATAGCATGAAGGCACCCGTGGGCTAGCATCCAATAGTGAACTTGCTACGGACCCTACCTCTGCTCTGCAATGCACATGCCTTTTGACACAAAAGCAATGATGGATGTTGGCTGATCACCAGAATGTCAGACCATGAACAGCCTGGTCGCCCGTTAGTGTTTCATTTCTATAATCATTGACATCCAACAATGCCTTGAGCCAAGCCCCATGATACCAAGTTCATCCAAGTTCATCAACAACCTCCAGTTCATTGGCTTATTCAGGGGTCAGCATCTTCGTGAAACCATCTAGGTTGCTCAATTGGCTTGTAAGTTATAAGCCCGGTGCAAACCCTCCTGTTTTTCCCTGAAGCAAATTCTGGGTGTCGCAGTTTCCCACCGCATCCTGTTTTCCATTGATGGCTCTTGATTTCTCATCGCTGCGTGCCGATCTCCTTGAGAAATCAGCCAGCAAAGGTACAGCTAACATCGAGGCATGTCCCAGTTTTTGATACCCCATAAAAAGGGCAAATTGGGGTCAATGGGGTGTGGTTTATGATTAGGTTTACCGCATGGTTGCCTACCAATTTTGGTGGGAGTTGGCCTCTTGGCAGAATGAAAAGTGGTTCTGCATGAGTGTCAATTTGTGCACCTCGCAGTCATCTTGACCTTTGCCGCAGCCCTACCGGAAAATGCACCTAAATTGGCTGTCAACGGCTTCTATCCGCTGAGTCACCACGCCTCCCTGGTTTCAAAGCAGGGCTGCGCAGGGCGCTGAGAGTTGATGAATCTCAATATCCTTGCAAATACAACTTGTTATTTGTTCTGCATGGCTCATGTTCTAGCTCAAGGGCTCTTCCACACCAGGAAGTGTGAACGGAAAACATAAAACTTGGGAGACCAATTGTGCAGATCTACGAAGTCCCGTTCTGTTGATACTTTAAGGACAAATGGTGCTGGCAGAGCAGGCATGTTTAAATAGGAGAGGTTTGTTTCGTGAACCGGATGGTGCAAATTCGTCATCCCAAGTTTTCGTGAAAATTGCCAGGCACCGAAAGTGCTTGAGGACCCTGGTACTGAAAATTTTGGAATCTACATCTACTCCCCTCAACTTCCATCACCTCAGACACGGGCAGAACTTGGTCAGAAATGCATCTCGGGGATTCAAGCTGGATGTGGGAAACTGCAGGTAAAGGAAGCACCCAAACAGCCCAAAAAAAAGAAGCATGATCAAACACAATCATACAACCATGTAATTCTGCAGAGGAGGAAGAAGAAAAACATGTCAAAATTTCAGCAAGCTGAACTCCACTGATCTCTGAGGTTCCAGCTCCGTGAACTCAGCTCTGCTGGGCGTCCTTCTTGGGCTTGGATCGCAACCAACGGCTCACCTCGGATCTCCAAAGTGAGGAGCCGTTACCAACAACGAGATCATGAGTCAAGGGGGATATGATGGCGTTATGGCGTATGTATATGATAATATATATATATATTATATATACATATATATATACATATATATATACATATATATATATATATTATATTATATTATATATTATATATATATATATATTATATTATATATTATATATATATTATATTATATATTATATATATATATATTATATTATATATATATATATATGTATCTCTCTCTCTCTCTCTCTCTGCGTCAATGTACATATGCATAACTTGGAATGAGCCCAGAAGAGCAAACCAAAGGGCTCCAGGGATTTGGATGAAGCTTGAGAGTAAGATGTGACACTCAGATTTGGGCCATGCTCACGTCAAAACAATCCAACAGGGGAGGTCCTTGGGCCTGACCCCTGGAAAAGTCAGCTTTTTCTAGGCACTCTGGTGCAGAACAGGTTTGGCATGCCTAGTTTCGGTTTATATCCATGTGTCTATGTATCCCACTAAAACGTGCTCCAAGAACTGATGCTGATTCACCAAAAGGGCATGGCAAATGGGAGTCGAAATAAAGCAGCAACTCCCTTTTAAATTACAGTAGCGAGGCAATAATTTATATCATGCTCTAACCTAGCTATCTTCAAGCAGTGGGTACTTCGACGTACCTCGTACTGAGGCCGCCTTGCGGTCCAAATCCACTTGCCTACCCCCACCATGGCAGGGGAAGTGGCTGATTGTGCTTTGTACTTGTTCTCCACCTGACACGTTGTGTTGATACCCCTCGCAGCCCTCAGCCCTTTCCACTGGCCACACTAAAATACAGTATCGACAGCAAGCAGCACTTTGGAGCCCATTTAAAATGCTCTCCATTTAGTGTTGCAGTGCAACTTTCTACCATTGTTTTGTCATTGCTTTGCCGAAGCTCTGTATGTAGCCTATGGGACTTTGCGAACGGTCACTGTCACTGAAAGAGTTGTAAGAAAATCCGTAGGGACCTGGATGCCCAAACCAGCCATCACAATAGGTCACCATCCATCGGCCCCCATCCCCTCGTCACGCCTTCTGATACATCTTGAAACCTTGCACTTGGTATTCTTTCAGGGGCTCTGAGCCCTTGTAGGCCGCCAAGCCTGCAAAGAGGTGGACATTGGAAGTGGACCCCACAGGTTTACCCCAAAAATATGCTCTGGCAGATGTTATGTTTCTTCGGGGATGGCTTATTTTTCATCATTTTTTGGCTGTACAACAAGCGTCCCAAGGCCAAGCGACCCACGGTTTGCTTCAAGGCATCCATCTTTTGCAGCAGAGCCTTCCACTCGTCATCGATGGTCCTTGATGCACGTAAGGTGTGATCGGTCAACCTGGAAAATGTTTGGTCGGCCTCCTATCTATACCAAATGAATCCAAACATTTTGCATCTGACTACATGAGCATGGATCTACGCGTTTAAATAGTGATTATGTTGAATTACATTGCATCTTATCAGCGCACTACATTACATTACATTAAATTGCATTGCATTGCGCTGGGCTGCTTTGCAATATATCATGTTGAGTAGATTACATGACAGGACGTGACATTTGCACTTACATGTGTATACACTATGTTGCACTTACATTAACGCTTAGATGTACATTACATCACCTGAGCACCTTGATGGCGGATTTCGCTCTGGCACTTAGGATTTACCAGGGTGCCAGCTGCCAACTGCACAGCTTTTCGTATAAGACCCCCCGGAAGAGTTAATTCTTTCAGCCAAGGATCACCACCGTGGCAATTCGTGCTGCTTCAACTGCGAAGCCGGGGCGGAACTCCTGCAATGGCAAAGAAAGATATCGGAAGCAAAGTGCGGTAAACCTCGACCTGTTTTGCGGCCCCTTGTTTGCAGCTTCCAAGAGTTTGCCCAACACTCACCCGCCTAGACCCAACAACCCTTGTTCCTCAAATTACCTCCAGCCAGTCCAATCAGTGACCAACATCAAACAATCATTTACAACTAATATATCATGTATATATCTCTGTGTGCATGATATACACACAATATACCTAAGAATTTTGGCCTTCCCCTTGCAGCCCTTTGATGCAAAAAAAGCTCACCGCCTCATCTTTGGCAGCTTCCCCTTGCTGATCCGTTCCCTGACCCGTTCCTCATAGGACTTTGCCTTGGATTGGATACCTTCCCGCACTGATTTGGCCAACAGCTCTCTGGCAGCCTCTTGCGCCTCGGGCGTGTCCTTAATGACCGATGCGACGGGTTGGGATGATGAAAGGGGCTCGGAAGTGGAATGCCTCTGGTGAACAAACCTAGCTGGCAGCAGAAAATCCGACAAAACCACCATGTTTGACAGGCAAATTCAACATTGTCCATTGACAGGCTTGGTTGCCCCCTCGCATTTATGAGAAGGATCATGATTGATCAAGGGATTCCATTTTATGGCGAGAGTTTCAAACCGAAAAGAGTGCATGGCGCTGGTCTGAGCACTTATCGCGGCTGTTGATTTGTCAGCAGTGACACCCGATGTGGGAATGATTGCGCGCCAAAGATCTTCCTTCATGTCAGCACTGAGCTGTGGCATGTCAAAACCTCAGGGCCGCAGGAAAGGCTTAGCTCAGTCTTCGCTTTCTTTTTTGTCTGGCAGTATTTGTGTGTGTGATTGTGAATCAAGTCCTAAAAGAAAGAGCTACTCCTAAAGGCGGCTGTCTTCGTGTTTGTCAGACAGAGTAACACAACAATAAACATCTATCCTCGACTGACTCCACAGATATTGCTTGGCAACCGAAGTATTCCTCGAACTCCTTTGCTTTCTCTTCATCGGTCTTGTCTTTAACCTGTCGATGCAAACATCCAAACCCCCACGGGCGTTTATAGATGAGTGTAGTGTAGTGTATAGTTTCTTTTACGTTTCGAAAAATACCCAAACCAGTACATCTGTATGAAATTTGGATGATCATCTCACTTTCACTTGGCATTCCGGACATCCACGATGGGCCGACGATGGGTATTATTATGAGTCCGATCAACTATTGAGTTCGATGTCCAAAGTTTGGACTGCGCCATGGGAATCTTCCTGCAAGCTAAACTATGCCAGCTGTGAGCATGGCCTGCTCAATGTGGAAATCCACGGCATCTTCACCCCACTCCTGCCATTTGGAACGAGCTGCGTCCAAAACGGCTTGAGCGGTACTCAGTTAGTTTTGAGCGACCACCTCTCCCTCTTCATCGCCATCTTCTCCAACTCAACTCCAGTATCACTTGCACTGTGTTTGTTGTTATGGTAGTCAAAAACCGAGATAGATAATTTGTGAGTATTGGTGACAGAATGACACCAATTACGCATTGAGAAGCTCAGTTTGTACCCGTGTCGGAGGACTGTAAACCACCCCTTGGATGTTTCAGAAGCCTCAATCAGCTTCATCACCGCCGTATCTTTATTGGCCAGGAATTCCTCAGTTTCAGCCAACATCACTGCATGCCATCAGCCTAGTAGCAAATGCACCGGCACCACATCCTGACTGGGGTGTTCACTTCCAAAATCACGCAAAGCAACTAGGGTTTATTCACTCCGAATAGACAACAAGCCAAAAAAATTGAACCCCCCACTCAACGCCCACCCGCCTATTCCTTAAAATGCCCAGTCACCTTGCGAGTCTTGTAGGTCAATTCTCGCTGCTTTGAAATCACCTGGCGCAGCTGGAGCAGCCGTGTCACATCTCACAGGGTACTGACGACGTTGTGGGCAAAATCTACATATGCAGATGCATACACATATAATTATCATAATATTATATATATATATATCTGTGTGTGTGTGCATGTGTGTGCATTCATATGATTACAATTATTTATATCACAACTCGTACCATCAAAGCCGGGCTATGAGGAAGCGTTTCACCATCCGACCTTATCAAATTCGAACAGGGTGGTTCGGGTCTTCTTGAAGAACTCCTCCACTGCTTTCTGGACACGGTCCAAAGTGTCATTCACCTCAGCTGCACCAGGATATCAAAGGCGAGTGCACATGAGCGGATAGAAACTGACTTGAAGCAGACTGGTGTTGCGTGCTGGGTCTTTAACCTATCACTCTGAAGCCACTCCGTATTCTTCCGAACCCGAAACACTGCACGAGCCAAGCATCAATTGGGCTCTGCAGGGGAATGGCATCGCCAAGCCTGAAACGATCCTGCCGCAAACATCCAAGAACTTCCCTATGCTTCTGCAACCAGTGAATTGGCCAATACTGGTCACACCATAAACAATGGCCGATTCAATGAGCATCAGTATCTACCCACTGGAATGGTCCATGAGGGTCTCGATCTTGTCACCGCCGAAGACGCGGAAAACGTCATCCTGGCGCCATCCTTTTGGGATCATCTAAAGAATCTCAGTTGCCAAAGGCCCCAAATACCACTAAGACTTTAAGGCTATCATTGTTACCATCTTAAAGTCTTAAGGTGTCTTAAGGTGTCTTAGGGGTCTCTAATGTCTACTTGCGGTGCGTGGGATATCAAGCTGGAACCAAGATTCCCAGTAACAACTTGCAGTAGGTCATAACCTGACAGTAACTGACTGCTTCAGATTCCTGTGACTTTGTGCCCATCAAATCCACTGATCTCACTCCTGCAGGGAGATGAAGAAGCGGGTGGTTCCAGGATCACCCTGGCGCAGATGCTGGTGGGATGTGGGATGTTTGTCTGGGAGTGGAGCTGGGAGTGGAGCCTCCAACCTTCCAAGAAAAAAACGATCACATTACTGTCTCCAAGTACTCAAAAAATAGAACTCGGCACTTCTTCTTTGATGATTTCCATCTTCAATTGGGTTTATCGGTTTATCTGATTTATTCTTACCCCAAAATCCAATGGTTTATCATGATTTATCTCATCACATCTCCCATGAATATTGCCATCGAAGTGCCCACCCAGCCTGTCGCCCAGCGCGACCTCGCAACTGGTTGTCGATACGCCGGGACTCATGGCGGGTGGTGCCCAGGACGTACAACCCACCGGCCTGCGATGCCAGGAGGCGGTCAGGGTGAGGAGGCTTTCCAGTCGGTTTTGTCTAAAAATTGGGTCCCAAAATCCAGTGGTTGATGATTCTTCACAAAGATCCAATTAACCAATTATCACTGGTTAAATGTCCAGTGGTTATTGCTTACCAAAATCCAGTGGCTAATCAAGTTGAGGGATTTACCGATTATCACCCCTATTTTTCGGACACACCCAAATATGTCTGCCCATCCTGGTTGAAGTGATGATTCCAAGTGAGTACTGTTTGTCACGGGACTTGAATCCCCTGCCGGGTTCAAACCGTTAAGAGTTCTTTAGACTTCTTTAGTCTTTAGATTATATATAACTTTGGATGTTTGAAGAAGCTGAGGCTCCCATTCTAGCTAGCCTCCCTTTTCCAAATGACACAGGTCGGATCATCCGTGCCCGTGCCGTTCCTTGATCACTTGGTCCTTCTCCTCAGCCAAGGCGTCCTGAGCAAAGGATCTTTTGGGAGGGTCACCTTTCAGGTTAGCTTCAGCAAGGAATCCCCTTATATAACTGGTAACTAATGTAACTAACTAGTGCTAGCTGCATGAACTAAATCGTCCCCTAGAAACCCTGGTTTAGCATTGGATCTACGGTATTCGTTTTCGGCTGTTTGGTATTTATTTGATATTTGTGTGGTTGTATGTGTGGGGTTGTATTTTCAAATATCTACAGTAATCCACAATAGTTCAGATTTTGGCGGGATTTCAGAGGGTTCCAAACCCATCAACTCAAGCCACCACACCATGCACACCTGCTACAGCCTGTCAGATGCTCTTCAATGTTGTTCTGTATATCATTTTCCGCCCCACCATCCAGCTGCAACAATCCTTGTAGAGCGTTTTGAGCTCGGAAAAGGCCTGTCCCAATGCGAAGCCCAGAGTCGCAGAACCCCGGGTTCAGTCTGGTTTTATATTGAGTACTGTCAGAAGGGTCCCCTCGCCAAAATTGTGGCTTTCTCAAAATCCCATTATAAATCTGGCAGCTCATCCCGTCCAGGAAGAGGCCCCCCGACTTAGAAAGAAATAGAGCTGGAAATATATTGATATATCTATTGATTCCTGGTTAGCCCAGTTGTGAACCAACGTACCTATCTAGGGCCCCCCCTTTCCTGTATGCATCAACCAGGATCAAACGTGATTCAAAAGAAACGTGTGACCTCTGACCCTGCCCAAAAACTCTCCATTTTTGTCACGCTGAAAACTGGGTCAGAGAAGAAGCGCTAAACTATCCGCTGGAGTAGATGCGCTTGAAAACCAGGTTGATCTCACCTTGGCTGCGCAGGTTGAGCCAAAGTGGAAATGGGTCAAGACCTGGGTCCATCAGCGAAGATCTCAAAGATGAAAGGAAACCATTTGAGATTTTGATGGTTTCATTTGTTGAAGGAGAAGGCCAAAAAAAAAATCTACCCATTGTGAGGGACGCCCAGACCCACCCATATCCAAAAATGAATAAAGACACCCTCTGCATCAACAATGTTCTGTAAGGCTTCCTCGTAGGGCATTCCATCCACTTCCTTGCCGTTCCTTAGATGGAAAGCATCAAACACACCATTTCCATGCCACCCCCCGTGACCCTCACGCATTGCCAGTGATCTACAATGCCAAGGGTCACAGAGAACAGGAAGTCGCCAGCCTCTATCTCTCCGTTTTTGAACGCGGAGCCATCCTTGAAAATGCCGCTAACCCATGCCCTGTTTGGTTCCTCATCGTACTTTTCAAACTCGATGCCTGGGCCCCGGCAAGATTCAACAAAGTGTGGAAGGGAAAACCCTATACCCGATACCAGCCATGACGATAATCATATCAACATTTTGAACCAAAATAATGCAGCAACTCTTCCGAAATCATGGAAATCTACTGGGTTAATAGTCTGCATCAGCCCCTGACGATTAAAACCTTATGATTGGACGGGGCACCATAGCTGGGTACGCTTAGAATCACATCACAAAACTTGCGTTTGGTCAAGTTGAAGGAACCTAAGGGCTTCATGAGGCCCACTTTGATGTCCACCGTGGTTTCTGCTCTACCCACCACGTCGGTCATGCCCTTTTTTTGGGCCGCATTCCACATGGCCAATTTCCTTAGCCGGACTTTACGCTCTTCTGCGGTCTCCTTCAATTGCGTGCTAGCACTTTGAGGAAAGAAACCCAAATCTAAAGACTTGTCCAAATAGATCAACGCAGCCAATCCCCATGGGCATATCCTGAACAGCCTTTGCATCCCTGACTACATGCACCGGCCAGGATAATTGACAAAGTGGGAACACGGGCCATGTTCGGTCCTTGTAGTTGGGCTGGGCCTTCCTCTTTCGGTTTGCAATACCTCAGCTGACATTGCCATCGATTCACAGCCCTGACAAGTTCATCCCGCAACTGGTGCATTGGAACGAGACCCAACCATCTGCCAACAGGTGGAGCAAGCAACCAAGACCGGTCTTGCAACATCTTTCTACACACGTCAACCACTGTGACTGTATGTTTGCAAGCCAAGTTCAGTTGAAATAGATAAACGAAGGGAAACACAAAAGAGAAATCACTGCCATACAGTCAAGGAAGGTGCGCTCCAATTGCCTTTGGTATGCCAGATCCTTCCAGTCCACCTCTTGCTCTTCGACTCTCTCTGGCTCTCCTTTGGCCGGTGGGCCTTTCTTCTCTTCTTCACCAAAGCCACCCAGGAAATCGGGTAGGAGACGACAACACCACAGCAATGCAAGGACCAGCAGTCCTCGCCTCATTGCTGGAACCGACCCTTGCGCTCGGTTCATGGTGTGGCTGGTGGCTGGGTTGGATTGAGCCGATGCGGCTGTAGCATCAAGGAATGCACACCATCACAGAGGTAAACCGTGCACGATTCACAGAACTGCCATGCCAGGTACCTTCATGCCAACTCCAACTGCCCCAACCCTGCCTTACGCAAGTCCATCAGGGCATTTGCGCTCTCGTTGGCCTCGAAAGGCGCTTCTCCACCAACCGATGCAACCAGTTCCTCCACAGCTGCGAAGTGTCAGGGCCGGCCCGCGTGGGACTGGCACTTCAAACTTCACAACTGGTGCCAAACACCTGAATTGGATGCCTACAAAAGTGCCTAACAGGGATCTTCCACAAAATGAACAGATTGGCAGATTAGGTGTTTTTCCTCACTTGCTGTGAACCTGGGACAGCCCGAGCAGTGTCCTCGACGTCCAGGAAGGTCTTGGTTTCCTCGCCCACGGGGGTGGCAGCTATACCCTGCACGGCATCTGCCAAACGCTTCTCCAAGTCGCCTGCCACAATGGCGCATTGGGGCAGGGTGAGTCGGAGGTGGGATGAACAGGTTCCAATACCCTGGTGGGGCTGATAGGTCTGTTTCTGATAGCCCAGCAGGTGACTAAGAAACTGTGTCAAAATCATTATCCTTATCCATGACAACCCCCCGAAGGAGGCAGGAGAATGATGCCCGATGACAAACAATCATTTGTTGGATGATTATGGAAATTCCTCGGCTAACAGCACAACAGCTATAGTTCTGTTCAGTATTATGGCAAACGATTTGCGGGGAAAAAGTTCGAAGCCCAATAATGTCAGTTTACTCAGAATTCTCGGCCATAGATGTACTTGCTTTGCTGCACCTATACTTCCGATCTCTTGGAAGCATCAAAGAATAAGAAGACATCACATTTGGTTCATTCTTGGGATTCCTTGGTTCACAAGAAAACTTGGGAAAATCCCGTTTTGACACGTTGGAACATTGGCCAACACCTTAAAACTTCACCTTGTTCAACTCCCACCCATCTTCACCTGGCATATCTGTGGGGTAAAACTCCTCGTCAGGGCTGTAGACCTCACGCAAAAATGTCGTGGCTGAAAGGAAAGGTATGGGGCACCGTGTGCTGCCAACATTATCTTGATCTCTCTGCAGATAAACTTTCAAAATAGTTCACATCTTCAGCTATGTCGCCTTTGAAAGTGTAAAGGCTGCAATGATCAACGCAAACAACATAATTAGTTGCAAAGGCCGAAAAAGGCTCCTGCCTTTGAGGACTCCTCCATTGGCAAAAGCGCATCTGCCAAGAGAGATCTGATGTTCAGCGCGGCCATCTGGGAGTGGTTGCCACCCAAGATGATATCCTTGGATCGGAGGCCAGGTTGATCCCAGGAAAACGTTTGCCATCCCAGTAGGCTCAGTAGGCTCCCCAAATGCCTGTGCCCAGCCAAACATTCCCAAAATCATGACCAGGCTTCAGTTCCACGCCCTGCCATGTTGGTAGAGACCGTCACCTTTCCCAATCGGCCTGATGCAAATATCGACACGAACGACTCCAACAGGCAGCCAGCTTCATCCAACTTCAAACCAACTGCAACTGACAGCGGCCCAATTTCCAAATCCTTCCACCTGGATCCTCATACCAGACCGGTGATTTTTCATGACTTTCCATCTCTTAAAAGGGATACAAAAGAATTTGTGACCTCACAGCCAGGAATACCTGAACCACTTTTGGATGTGGGATGCTTTAAGGGTTGTAGGCATACACATTTGAACTTCTGTCCTCCTTGGAGATTTGCTTGGAGCAATCAAAAGTGACCGACAACTTGATCATAACTCGGGGTTATCCATTTTAAGGAATACTCACCCGCAAATTTGTTGGTTACTGTAAATCCCAAGCTTGGCATGCTTCTGTTAGTGATACTCAATTGATTAAACCGATGTTTGCATTATTCCATATTCGTATACATACATATGATATATGTATATACACACAACCATAGCTCCTAGTCAGACCGCTCCCTCCACCGAAAAAATCTGTATCGCCTGCTTGGGAAATGGTTTCGTTCTCTCTGGCAATGGACTCCGGCCGCGCATTCAGCAGCTGCGGCTCCACGCCCGCCTCCCTGAGGCGGCTCACAATGGCCTCGGACATCTTGACATTGGCAGTGCCGATCAAGATGGGCCGACCGTTGCGCTCGTTGTTCAGCACGATCTCCTAAGGGAACAATGGTGAATCAATTGGGGACCGGGGTAACTACTGTTGAAATATGTTTTAAATGTTCAACTATCAAACATGGGGTGCAGAACCATGTTTCATCATCAAGTTGTTAACATCACCCACTTTCCATGGATGTTGATGCAGCCAATCTATCCCGGTCCTCAACAATGGCGTTGAGTTTGGCCTCCTCCGTCTTGTAGACCACGTCGGGGTAGTCTCGGCGCACGTTGGGCCGCGCCGTGGGCACGCCGGTGCAACGGAGTCCATAGATCTCCTGGCAGAGGTAACCATGGACAAGTGGGGATTTAAAAGTGATTTAAGTATCAACACAATGGGATTATGGTTTAGCCATTGATGAATCATTTATTGTTGTAATTTCATAAGCTCATCAAGATTGGTCGATGGATACTCTCCAAATGAACCAACAGGCATGGTTATCCCCCACAGAGACTTCCCATAATGAATCACCTGCATGTGCGGGATGAACAAATTTAATAGTGCAATGGAGTCATCAAGTAATGTGTCCCCATCCTGGCAAGCCCTTTCCTCGGAATCCTCTATATACATCTATTTATATATATATGTGTGTGTGTGTCCCATTTACAGACCAATGTTCCAAAATCCAGGTTGTGATGGACCAGATGATTGGATCCATGCTCGGCTTCACATGTGCAGTTTCAAAATCAAGCCCATCATAGCCCATCATGGCCCATAAGGTAAAAAAATTGGAAACTATGTGAATCTCAAGGCGAAAACAAAGGACCACAGCAACCTCTCTATCTGAAACTCTCCCGAGGCGCCTCAAACTCTGCTGCCTCAGTCAGTGCTGTGCCTGTCATGGCACACAAGCGCGGGAAGAGGCGGAAAAGCGACTGGTAGGTGATCTGTGCTGAGACCTGCGAACGAACACCTCAGACCATGGGGATCCATCAGGCATTCACCTTCCAAGCTAAATTGGACAAATCGCAAATTATCTGCCAAGCACAGCCCTTGATCATTGAAACCGGTTGCAACCGTGAAAAAGTCATCGCCTCATCGCTGCCAAGATGCTCACAGAGATGTTCTCCTTGCATTCAATGGCCTGATGCATGCCATCAGACCAACGCCGTCCTTCCAGAACACGACCAGTGAAGGTGTCGACAATCGCGACCTTGCCATCTCTAATGATGTACTCCTCACCCAGGAGGGGTGCAAAATAGAAGTCATTTGACATGCACATGCACAGCAACGCGTGGGAAGAGAGCTTGAGGAGTTTCAGGTGTGGTGGCCTATGGCTATGATTCAAGCATCCATGAATCCACATTTTGATCCACCCAGCTGGCAAACCCATCTCCTCGCCCAGCTGGAAGAGCTCCTTGGCCTTCACGGCATTCAAAACGTACAAAATCCATGCCTCCTGAGGCCAGGCCGGCGTGCTGAAACTACGGACATGGCCACTGCATGGCCGGATGCCAAAGGTCACTTTGCGATGTTAGCACTGATTCATCGATGTTGTTTCTCTCGCAAATGTGGTTATAGCCGCTGCCTAGCATGAATTTCTCAAAAAGTGTCTCACAAAACCAAATTTTGACAGGGTCTTCCCTGCACTCGTCACTCGTTGGGCCGGGCGCCTCAGGTTCCCACAAGTTCTCAACCTGTAGCAAATCCTGGGCCACCTTCTCACCCAAATCCGTCATGACCACCTCAGAGACCCGTGCTTTCCAAAAAAAGAATAGAAACCAAGCTGTGTCAAGGAGACCTGAATATTCTGACCCCACAATTGTTGGATCATAGCTGATGTCAGCCAAAAAAAAACAAAAAAATGTAGGGCTGAGTTGCGTTCATGTTCTTCTCATCCACGGTGTAGTGCAAGTCCTTCTTCAAGGCATTGGCGACCTCTCGGCCTGCCTCGAACTGCCGCGGCACCGCAGGGACGGACTCGGAGATGATCAGCGGCGTTCGCGCCTCATCGATGAGAATCGAATCCTCAGGTCTCTCAGGTCGACGGTTGGATGAATGATGGGATACCCGGATACCCTTTTGCGCAGCTGATGGATTTGGATTAGTTTTAATAGGCATAGTAAAGGCTGAAAGTTGATTCTGACTTTGTCATTTTCCGTTCATGGTTCATTCCAATCGGAAACCCATTGGAGAAAACAATGCACCCAGGTACCAGGTGACATAAACCCTCCAAAGAAACTGGGAAGGCTGTGGCCGAAACTTGTACAAATCTGATTTGCATAACTTCAAAGACGGCAAGGATCAGCTTCATCTACCAAGCAGAAATGGAAGTTTTTGCTCTGCACCACCTGGTGAGGGTAAACCGCCAAGTTGTCGCGGAGGTAGTCGAAGCCCAATTCAGCGTTGGTCAAATACACCACGTCACATTTGTAAGCCTTCTGTCGGTCCGCTACCTGCAGTATGGGGCCTGGACAGCCCTTGGAAACACCAAGATTTTTTTGGAATTCATCAGGTGTAAAAATTGGGGGATACCATGGGATATATACCATAAAACTGCTATTTGAATGAGGAAAGAATGAACCATGAGATGGAATGGGATGCTGAATTTGAAGACACCTGCAACTGTCCTTCTGTGCCTTTCCACTGATTACCTACACACACTGATTACCTGAACATATCCTTTCAATGAACCAGCCATTCAGTTCTTTAGAGGATTCATATGGATTCATCATTTCTTGTGTCACGTTGGGCCTCCATGGTGGACTGCACCAATCCAACGGTGAGTCCCAAGAAGCGCAGGACCTGCCCGACATTCTCCGCGTCGCGGCGCGCCAGGTAGTCGTTGGGTGTGACCACGTAGACGCCACCCTTGTCCTCGAGCGCTGCTAGGAAGGTCGGCAGCAGCGCCACGATGGTCTTCCCCTCACCTGCCGGTGCCAATGATAAGTGGAACTTGGGGAGCTTGGGGCTTGAAAGCATAGTTTCAGAATCATGAATGGTAAGTTGGGAAACCTCAGTCTTGCTGGAGCTCAGTTGAATACTATACATATACTTACACAGAGAGATACGTACATACAGACATACATACATATACATAAACCAGGTGTGCATATACCATATGGCCGTGTAGTTTTGTTTTTTCATGGGATGGGCTTCTGCTTCCCACTGTGTAGCGCCTGTCTTCATCTCCGCAAGCCGCTCCTTGTGCAGCACCAAGCCGCCCAGTAGCTGCACATCGAAGTACCACAGCTCCAAGACACGCCAAACCGCCTGGGTCATGTCGTCGCTCAAAGGGACCCAAGTGGAACACATTGAGACATGCTGACTTTCCAAATAGGTAAGCTGCATTCTGACCGAAATGATTGATGATGGTTCAATGGTAGTAAGCAAGAAGTGCGTCAACAATATGTGTGTGCACATATATATATATATACAGATATAGATATAGATATATTTAAATATATATATATATAGATAGATATATAGATATTATATACATATTTACATATATATATATATACAGATACATACATAGGTATGTATATATATAATATATGATGCGTGTGTGTGTGTGTGCCAAACACAATTTCATACAGAAAATCCCTGCCAAGTTTGGTTTTCGGATCAAATGAACATCAA